AAGCAGCTAGCAACGTAACATGGACAAAGGAAGGCGTGAAGACCCCTGATATATAGACCAGGAGACTCCTCACAATGCACTTATATTTCCACCCCATGTCCAATACTCAAAGGCTGTACAACAGTTGGAAAGAAAGCGAGTGACACCTGGTGAATGTAAAAGCCACTATCTTGAATGAAACTCGAAGTATTTAGAAATATAGCAAGATGACGACATCAGAGGATGAACTGCTGATAGAATGTTTGATGCATCAACGATCAAGGAGAGGAAATACCATGGCAAAGCCTTCCTCCATGGATTGCACCATCGGCAGATAGCTGAGAAATTCTACCAGTGGCTGGAAAAAGCTGGACTAAAAAGGCAACACTGAGGCATGATCATAGAAACACAGGAGCAAGCACTAAGCACCACAAAAGACAGGATTCTAGGAGCAGTTTTGCGCAAAAATGCCTCAAAAACAGTCCAACATATAGTGGCATGATGTACAATGCAAACAGGAAAAGCATACACTGAAAGGCACTACCAAGTAACTGGCTTTATTTACAGGCATATATGGCTTAGAATGTCGTATAACCGGATAAGAGATTCCCCAGAAAACCATAAAGAATAAACCGGCAAATACCCTGCGGGACTTCTCTATCCAAATAGACGAATAATTGTTGGCCAATCAAGTAGATACCAGGTAAGAACCAGAAATCAACACTGGTGCCATAGCTGGCCAATCAAGTAGATACCAGGTAAGAACCAGAAATCAACACTGGTGCCAAAGCGTCAAGTGACAGAGACAAAGAAAGGAATATGAGAAGTTAGAGAAATACCAAGAGGCGAAAGAGGAACTAGAGAAGATGTGGAGAGTAAAGACCGAAGTAATTCCAGTGATAATTGGAACACTTGGTGCTTTGATCCCTATGCTAGAAAAGAGGCTTAAGCAGATTCCAGGAACAACATCAGAGATCTCTGTTCAGAAGAGTGTACTACAGCTAAAATATTGAACCCTCCCATGCCTTTGGTGTATATGATAATAATTAAAATATCACTTCGGCGATACAGGAAATTATTACATATTTCATATATTTGATTGTATGACAATATTGGACTGAAGGAAATTGATCCTCTCACTGGAACTTAAATAGTTAATTTTATGTAAAGTGAGAGAAGCTGTAGACAGTGCTACCAAAGGGAATGTAACAAGGATAAAAAATAAAATTTGGCTCATTTTTCCACTTGTAGAATGAGTAAATGCTGACTGTTGTCCGGGCACTTTACGTAATCGGAGATGGATATAGTCCGAAGGCCAAGGAGAATTAAATCAACGGATCGCAAGATATGAATTGGGTTTTCGTCTAAATAGCGTAATGGACGCAGATTAACTATATTTTCGGTTTCTACTATTAGGGTTTTTAGATGCTCTTCAAATAACAACTTCTCGCCGATTGAATGAGCTTTTGACGATGGCAATTAATCTTTCATAAATTCCGCCTTAATATGGATGGAGCTACACCATTCTCTAAATAATTCTCATGGAAAAAACCGAGTGAACCCCAACTGAGTAGTACGCAAAGATAATCAAGGCGAAAACGGTATTGAATGCTATTAGAAGATATAAACCGAGCAAATAACAGATTTTCAGTTCATATTTTTGTTAAAATCCCTATTCTCGATTTTCCCTTTCGATTTGAATAAAAATATGCGTTTTCATCGAAAGTATAATAAAAAATGTTAGACAATAAAACTTATAAGAAATACTATTTGAAGAACCAAAAAACTGCGTAGCCGATAATGTTAGCTGAGCAAAGAATTATCGCATATTAAAAGGAACATAAGGGATGAAGAGGAGGCAGAGAGACCAGACAGTGCGTCAAAAAAGTTTAACCGGTGTTTGAAGCGATTAATGTCGTCATTAGAGTAAACAGGAATTGATCCAGAAATGAACATGCTCTTGTCCATATGCTCTTTTGCAACCCAGTTTGCATATATTTAGTCCACTGTGCAAAATATACTCGATCTGCGCCATCACTTCAATCATTTCAAATATTTTTCAGATTATCGTAAGAATTCGGACTATACCATAGGAACAAAAAGTCCACATGGACCAGTGGATCTACCTGTATTTCTAACTCCAATGACTCCCCAGCAAAAATTTCCCATCATACTAATAACCAATGGAATATACCTAATTAATATACCTAAATGGTAAGCGCCAACCAATTTTCACATGCAATGGATCCACTCTGTTCATATTTCATGATTCAGTTCATATCTACTGACAGTTCGACCTTCTCTAAAAATTAAGTTCATGAATCTAAACCTGACATATGCCCCAATCTCTTTATTTCCACTCATAGAGTTTCACTGTTTCACAAATTTCGGTCCAAGAATCACCACCTTCTATCTCAATAACCTGTCCCCAAGCAATGTAACACTCTGCATTTCTTTTTCTTCAAACCATGAGCTTAGAGTGATTTTTCGCCAATGGGTCATTTGAAGGCAAAATATAGGGAATCGAACCTACGCTACTTAATCTCGAAAACAACACCGTGTAACGCGATCCTTTTAACTCCAGACCAGGCACACTCAGCAATTGTATCCACATACATTTTCTATTGCATTTTTCGATTAAAGCAACGTTCTCTTATTCATTTATTCATTTCCATGTGTCATACAATCGATGATCAAATCCTGTTTTATACAATTAACAAATTATTTCATTGTTTCCTATGCTACGTCTTTTTCTTTTTCAAAAATTTACACTTTGGGCAATACACTAATCGACAATATACTCATCAAAATATATCTGAAAAACGAAGCCGATCCCCATATATCCTTGAAATATTTAAAATCAAACAAATTACGACGACAATTATGTGAAATCTTCGTCAATAAAAATTTTAATAGTAATAGCAATAATTATGAATGAAATAAAATCTACAAAATTCTTCAAATTCTTTACTATAAAGGAATAAAATATTTCAGAAATATTGTAAAAAGAAAGAATAATCTTGAAAATAAAAACTTTCCGTTAGGAAAATTGAATAAATAAATAACACAATAACTTGCAAATGCACAAAAATACACATTAATGCATGTATGCATGTATATGTAAAATATTGAATAATAACATAACAGTCAAAAGATGAAAAATTACAATCTAAAAAAGTGATTACAACTCAAAACAAAAAAACCACAAAATAACAACTCCTGGAGTAAAAAAAACCAAACAAAAATATATCGTAATTAATAAAATGAAATAGACCAGTGAAAATAAAAGACTAGGGTTATTTTTTCAATTCTTGTTTGACTACTACAAAGATTTGAAGATTTAAGAAAAGCCAAGAGCAACCGAGTAAAGAGTGAAAAAAATATATAACTTTCTCAACAAGGCTAAGTTTATAAGGATTTTAATAATTATTATAGAAAAATCCTGAGTTATCATTTAAAAAATTATTTCTTTACAAATTTTAAAAAAAATCTAAAAAATAGGCAATCATGCGATACGATAACTCGTATATGAAACACTCGTTTTGAAAAAAAACCTGCATGAACCTCTCTAGATACTCGCGAGTAAGAAGCACTCGCGCAAGATACCAGTAAAGAACGAGGACATCCCGATTACCATTAAAAAAAAATAAAGAAAAATGTGAGAACAGGATTTTTACGCGGTAAATTATGAAATAAAGAGGAACAAAAGGAAAATTATGTATTTTAAAAGGTATGTATACATTATGTTAGCAAAATTATAGACCAAATCAACAAACTTATTACATACTCCCTAAATTAAATAATATAATTCGAAAATTAGTAAAAGAATAAAAGACTGAATAAAGTTGAAACAGATTTTAAAGAAAGGTTCAGCTGCAAAGTTCCATTATCATTTAGGATCACAAAATGTCAAAAATTGCCTGAAAAGGACAAATGCGTAGGTATGATATAATAATGACAACTGAACTGCTATTTTTGTTGTTTCCATTTTATAAAAATATTCACCACAACGAATTATAGATTACTGAACGATATGAATAAAAGGTTAAAGCGATAATGCACGGCCAATATCCACTGCATCAATTTGATATCGTAAAACACAATCTTAATATTTTGATAAATACCAATTATAACAGCATATCAGTCCAGTAAATTATGAGTTATTAAACTGAAACAGCTTGTAATAAATCAAATATAGAACGGTCTAGATAATTTCATAAATATTCAATGCAAACCTGCAATAAAATGGACATATGGATAAGCAAATAAAAAATATGCATATTTTACTATGAAGTAATTAATAAGTAGCATGACGACGTTGAGGCTCTGCCATTTTAACATTATATGTGCCAAATATTAATTTCTTATTCTTGAAATCGTACAATCGACGGCAAAAATATACCTAAATTTAAATCCAAATTGAATAAAATTGCTAAAAAATTTAGCAAAATTGAAGACTAAATTAATGATCTGAAAACCTATTAAAAAACATAACATTGAAATAAAATATACTATTAAAGCTAAAAAGACAACCATTGCTTTAAAAAGAATCGGGGAAAAACGAAATTCTTGGCTTTGAAGAGTGCTAATTATCCAAGTGGAAGAGATACAATAAAATAATTACAATAAAAAATGAGGTTATATACCAATTCGACGGGAGTATCCTCGCAAGGTAGGAATTTACGTCTTGGGTAATCCACTTCTCCCCTTGGCCAAATTTCATCTTCTTCTGTTGGACATTGAGCTCTCGGTAGACTATCAATCTTATTTTCTGTCATGTATCTGCAAAATGGAAATCTCAAATCACAAAAAACAAAAAGAGATTTCTGTAAGGAATTCATAACTTAATAGTGTTCTATGATTGTGAATTCTTAGTGGACAAAGCAAATAATAAAATTTGTTAATAAAATGGGAGCCAGAACAAGATAAAAACTTTACCTAACATATTCATTGAATGTAGTCACAAAAATGATTTCTTCAACTGATTCCAAAGGGATACTGTCGATGTGGCGGGAAGCAAACAATTCCTTACAATCAATTGCAGGTTGCACTGAATTGTGATCTAATTCGATTTGATCTGGTTTGTAGTACCATACCACTGTTGCCATAAGAGATCCTTAAAGCCACATGTCAAATAAAACAAATAAAACCTTGAACTTGGTTTTATTTGTTTTATTTTTTTAATGTGTTTTGAAAATTTCACGTAAACTGCCTTATTTTATGATCAAAGAAAATAAGGCGATGAACAGAAAAAATAGCAAATCAAAAAACCACTGCGGAAGAAAAAAGAAAAAATCCCAACTCCTTTTCGAAACAAAAATTCTCCGAAAAAAAATTCCCGTAATTCACACTCAAACGTTAATTAATTAAAGTTAATTCCAAACAAATGAAAAAATGCACCTGTTTGCGCATCAAGATAAATACGATTTATACGTCCCAGATTGGTTGTGGAATTATCTGATTTTACAATTACTGAATCACCAATTCGAAGAATTTCTGGCTCATAACGATGCCTTACTTCTTTAAAACAAATTCGTTTAACTGGCATTGTGTCATTCTAAATAACAATTTAGGAAATGAACAATAATTAATTATAGATTAAAAACCTATATCTAAGGCCCGCATCTAAGGCTGTTAAATAAACTTATTGAAGATGAAATAAATAAAATCAATGAAATTGATGAAAATTTCGTATGATTATTATTCAAGCGTTCCAGTATAAATAATATCTAATCTAAATAGTACAAAACATTTTGGTCTTCTTGACTCATTTTTCATTTCCAATCTATTTTTATCAATACATTCTTTCAATAAAAACAAAACTAAATTACTCGCAAATATATCGGTCGACGAAACCCTTCACCGGTAGGCTGCCAGTTTGAAATGATTGTCGTTGTCAATAAATCAGCACCCTTTCCTTTTTTCTTTCTTTTCGTATGGCGAGAAAAATTTCCATTACTTGACGTACTCGAAATGCTACTAACACCACTAGTGGATGGAGTGCACACTTCGCAATCTTCATCTATTTTGATCTCCAACTGAGTGTTATAGGTCACTGCTGACTCATTATCCTGAAAATTTAAGATAAATCCGACTTATAAATAAATAATAAATCACAAAAAGCCAAAAAAATTGCTGTCAATTATTTTAATAAAAAACATTTGCTTTGCTTTTTATGCTTTGTTATGTTTTATGCTTTTTATGCTGATGCCATTATGCTTTTATTTATCGATCAAAACACAAATTAAAACTGGTTACCTTAATGGATGCTTTTCTGAGATTCTTTGTCGTATTTTGCTTTACATTATCAACAATACGACGAAAACTCGTCGAGAAACTTCCAGTTCTTCGATTCGTCTTTACTTTAATGGCATTTAAATTTGAATTACGAGTTGCTGCTATAGTCGAAGCCCTCAAAACACGTTTCGGCCGATCTTCTTCTTCAAATTTCTTCAACAATTTTGGATCAAGCGATGGTGTCAAAGGAGTCGGTGGACGGTTCTCATTTACTTCAGCCAACATCTGCAAAAGATTTTTCTCCTACAAAACCTTCTGATCTTTAACCTTTTTGGGATATTTAAAATCATAATATATAAAAATCACATCCCATATTTAACATGTTAAGTTTCGAACATAAACCACAAATATTTAATGCATTTTTCAGTGGAAAGTTTTCAAAAATAAAACTGGATTATTAAAAATAATGACATTAACAAACCACTGATAACGATTCCTCTTGATTCGTGATATTGACTATATTTTTCGGTTTTTGAATTTCCACACTATTAATCAGGGAACTTTTTGAAGAAGATATCGAAGGGATTCCTTGTTCGACATTTGAGCAGTTCTGCTTTTCTTCAGAACCTTTACTTTCCACTGCTATTTGACTTCCAAGTATATCTTTAACTTTAAACGAACAGCACTTTCGCATCTGTAGCAATAAAAAAATATTACGTTAAGCAACATATTTGTGCCATTAATCTGAATTGTTAAAACTGAAAAATGTTGATTTTGCAAAAAAATGCAAACTTCAGCATAATCAAAAAAAATGCTAAAGGAGCAAAATAAAAGGAAAAAAATTGCTAAAGGAACTTTTCAACAAACAAACATTATAAATAAATAAAATATAGTGAAACTACAAAATTATTTGAAAGTGACCAGGAATATTTCATAAAATATCCTTAAATCCCGACAGGTCTATTAATCATGAATCTAAACTGAAATTTTATCAATTGATTCATGATCTGTTGCTTATCTATAAAATTTTACATGGCTATGTTAACCTAAATATATTTTATGTTATTTAATATGTATTATTAAATGTTTGAACTCTAATATAACAAATCTAATGGATTGAAATTATTTTATAAAAATAAACTGAGAGAATTCAGGATTCAGGATTTTCCCATTTATACGATAAATTACTGGAATAAATCACTTAATCTATACAGACAATGTATATAATTTGAGCACCATTCGCAGCCAGTTTTAAAATAAGATTAAATAAAGCCATATACAATATCACTGAATAATTTTATTATTTCAATTCATCAATCTAAAAAAATGTTTTGAAACTGCATTTAGCCTATACCGTATTTTAATCCTAAATATTGGCAGATGAATCGTAAAGAAAAAGTCGACAAAATGAACTAAAAGAGAATTCGCACATATTAATTAAAAAAAGGAAATTTACGCTGCATATAAAAATTTGATGCTTTCTTATAATTAAGGTTTTCATGATATTTTCATGATATTTTCAAGTTTTGTTTTAGGTTTTGGGTTGTTTTTTATTTTATCGTTTCTAAAACCAGCATATTGAAATCCTCGGTTCAAAGTTGAAATAAATAAAATAAAATATTTGAAAAATATGCATTAAAAATTTAGACCCAAAAACTTTCATCTCTACTTTAAAATTTCCCTAGAATATCTCTATCTTGCGATCTTTTGACAACTTTTCAGAAGTAATGATTAAAACGATAACGATTAATGATTTTTGAATATGAATAAGGATTAAGAATACTCGAACATAAACGATTTTTATTTCTCTCACCTCATGAGCTATTATATGAAAACTATTTTCACACCATCATCCTTCATCTTCCAATTCGCCTGAGATCTATCATCTATTTTTCTATATTTTATTCGCTATTTCTATTTCTGGCTATTATTTGGCATTAAAAAAAGCAGTAAATACCAACTATCGTCATTTGAACGAACTTTTTGACTTTTGAAAATGCATGATCTCTAAGCCAATTTTTTTTGAGAAAAAAACTTTTAAATTATATATTTCAATGCCAATCAGACTGAAGGATGCAAAATTAAATAAACAAGAAACTATTATGTTTAAGGAAAGCGCAACATTTAGGATTAATATAAAATAATATAAAATATGCATTATCAAAACTAGCACAAAAAAAGTTGAGTTAACCTGAACCTGATGCGTTGTTCTTCGTCCATTTTCTTCACCTTCAACATTGTCATCATCACCAATAAGAGTTTGTATACGAAAACTTGGTTTTGCTTTCGTTTGAACCTTGTTCATAAAATCGTTAACGATATGATCATTCATCGAACTTTTTCAGCTAACAATTAAAGAATGTTAAAAAGGGAATAAAAAATAAAAAAAGAGAAATACTGATTATGGAATGGTTATTTTATTGTTGCTTATACCGAATTCAAGACATCGTAGGTTCTTTGACGAGAATAAATGCCATTAAAGCCTGGAAAGTAATGAAGATTTAGCTGTCGATTAAGCTGTATGTTTGTTTACGAGGGACTCATTAGTGCCATTCTAAATGCTATTAGAGTCAGTAAAGCCAGGAAAGGTGAGTTTCAATATTTCGTAACCACTGCTGATTTGACTGGCTCTGCTGGTGACTAGAATAAGACATTTTCAAGTAACTAGATATGATATCGTACCTGAAAGTAACTCCTCCTTCCATGGTCTAAGCACAGATATCGATGGCTGTTTATGTGTTTAAAATCTCCCCTGACGTGACATATGGAGGACGGCAATTTTCGTTCCACGATACAAGCAGCCAGCTAGTATAGAACTTTTCCAGCGATTAATAAATAAAATATAATCAGTTCAGTCCAACACTGAACGCCTCGAGGTCCCCATTAAATACAATACCATCATAATAGCTTCTGCAGTGCTAAAAGCAACTACTAGCAGTATATGCTTTTGCCAAAAGAAGATGCTCTCCATGGGTCCAATGCTGCTTGCCAGCAAAAGAATAATAGGATAGCATGCCCCACGCGCATGTTCCAATTTCCAGCGACCAGTTGCTATTTTTTGCGAGAGATGCTGTCCGCAGGCGTAGAATCTATCCTTATTCAGATTATATTTGCGCAGCGTAACAAACATAACTACCGATGACAGAACTTGACCTTTAAAGAGGGCAGACCAGCAGCTGCCATTAACAAATATCCCACACTATCAGAACTAATTGCGCCCTTTCAGATATAACAATCATTTCTCTCTGAATTATTTGAGAAAGCTGTTGTGTAATTCTTATTCGAACTAGGTATAATACTCTGAACAAAGAATTAAGAATACACAGGCTTCCCATAGGTAAACGATATTCACATGATATCTGGATAAACTGTGGACGGTTGTCGTACCACCCTATATCATAAGCTTTCTGGGATTGAAACAGCCACGTTCAAAACTTAGCCGGGCGTACATATAGCTGGATATTTGTCCCACTTTTCTGAGTAGTAGAGTAGCAGATCTTTCGGCTTCAAAACATATACTTCCTATTACTATTTCCATGCTCCATTCGAATATTTATTACAATTTACACACTTTCCAGAATTAGGGAAATAAAGCGCGTAGCAATAAGAGGAACCGTTTGAGGTTATTTGATTCTTTCACCATAGTTTTAAGTAAAAAAGAGTAAAACATGCGATTTTATCAAACACCGTCAATAAAAAAAAAATAAGCCATAAAACTTTTTAGAAACCTTATCAGTGATCCAACACTATTATTACTGCAAAATGTGGTTGCATTATTATTGGTACTGCCGTTACCATGACTGTTTGTTGAACATTTTACTGGTTGCTGTGTAGTAGGATTAGCATTTAATGATTTCTTCGTTTAGACTTCTAAATAAAATTTTCATTCTGAAAATCGAAAAATACTTTTTCATTTTATTTCTTAAAGTTATTTGATTACAATGTCCATTATTTTTATTTTATTTCGTTTTTTCACTATAATATAATATATTTTAAGATTTTAAATTTTATTATTAAAAAATATACCCGTAATAACAGGAAGGAAAAAAAAAGACAAACGAACTTAAGCAAATATCAGGTAACCGAAAAAGAGAGTCTGGTTTTTGATGAAATTTAATGAAAATAAAGAATGAAAATAATTTATTCATGAAAATAAGCAGGTCCAGCATAGTCAATAATTCTTTTTTCAACAAATGTCATTCTGGTGAAATATACGATCATCAAAAGCGAAGAATGCAACCAACTTTTTTTCCACAGTACGCCGTTTTTGGAATTTTCGCTTGCGGTTCTAATACGGTCCTCCAACATGGTAGTAAAATGGTAGTTACATATCTGGGGAATAGGAAAGAATAGAATTTTTCAGCCAAGACTGTGGAACTTCTCAAGTCTTATTGTATGCAATCATTCTGAAAAAAGAACCGCAATACCTCCACTTCTGCAGACTACTTTGTTTCTGAAGTAGCGCAATCAGTAATAGTTGATGTCCACAGCTAATGGATGATGGCAGAACTCTGCTAAGAAAAGTATACGATACAAGTTCAATGGACAAAGAACCTTGAACCTTTGGTATAAATCAGGCAGACCTTCATCATATACCAAAAATCCACTTTAGAATGGTTCATTCTTGCGAGATGAATCGACAGATCATAAATGGATATCAATATAGGAAGACATTTCACATCTTCGCACAATTTCAAGACATTTTCGCGTATTGCTTTGTTATTTTTAGATTCAAAAATTAAAAATTAGATTCAAAAAAAAATTAGTTTTCGATGCAAAGGGATGCAAATTTTCCGGAATAGTTCTATGCTTTGTATGAAACGCATGCTGCGTTTGACCGAATTCTAATACTAATCTTCATCTCATTATCAATGACGGTCTTTCCTCGGGAAATGTTCCATCAAATGTTTCATCTCCTGACATAAATTTTCTACAGTTTTCACATTTTCACCTTCCACATTTAACACCGATGGGATTTTGCAACTCTATTTTACGGACAACTTTAGCAATTTGCAATTTGTAATTCTGATATGCATTATCTGATTCAGCGTTTCATTGGCTCTAATTATGCCGCATTATTATCGCTTTCAACTGCTTACCTATTTGTCGCTACTTTAGAACATTTTTTGGCTAGTTAATAATCATAAAGAAAACCTAAACAGTCAAAAAGCAATATCTATTGTACAGCAGCAAGCAAATATCTGCAATTTATGAACATGACCGAAATTGTCCAATTTAACTGACGATTTCTGCATTTAAGGAACGAAGTTAAAGAGAGTGCAACGGAGTCTGAAAAGTGTTAAAGGGAAGAACATGGTCATTTAGAAGAAAAATGTGGTTTTTGGGCCTAAATGATAAAGCAAATTGGGTGGAAGGGAGCGCCATGAAAAAATGGGTTTTGAATGATAACAGCGAAGTATGACGGATTGTGAAAATGTCAAAGGGCTATAATAAAGTTTGATAAAAATATTAAGGGCGTATAACAGCAGGGCAAGTGTCGAATAATTCAAATTCAAAGAATTTAATCGAGTTTTAAGCAATACTGAGGTACTATAGCTGAAGTCGCAGCCTGCGAAAAGACTGTTATTGCCATGTACTGAGGTCAAGAGAATACCAAGAGATTATAAAGGGATTTCAGAGGATTTTTGAAGAAGTGAAACGGAGCTATCAGCATTAAGGAAATACATCACAAAAGCGTTAAAAGAGAATAGATTTGATGGGATTGTACGAAACGTTTAAGAAACGGATAAGGGTATTAACGAAAATTAACAAATTTGTAGAGTCCAGTTTCAACGTTACTGAGAAGCGCAAATCTGCTGATGCTTTTAATATAGTTCTAAGTTGGTTGAAGATATATTAGGAAAATATTTACAGCAGTAGTATTCGATTTTACAATCTGCAGCTTCGCGTATTTAGCGCCACTTAACGCAACCACACTATATGGAAGACCAATAAAGATCAGAACCATACCTTTATACCCCTTGAACTATTACATTGCCTTTCATCTATTCCCATTATAATATTAGATTTTAAGAAGACATCTCCCAATATTATAGCACGTTAGAAAAATATAGTTAGAAAAATAGCACTTTTAATTATGACATAAATTATTGTTGGAACAAATTAGGAAATGAATTTTTCCTTAAAAATTTAAGATGTTTAATATTTTATGAAACTTCGTAGAATAGTGTGATGTTATCTGGAAGGATTTTCCAGATTTTTGAAATTTCGAGCGAAAAGTACAAAGAGATCCCTCCCTCACCACTCACTTCGTAATTTTCCTATATATAAAGTTTCAAAAATCTGTGGTCCACAAGTGTTGCAAAGACTTAAGAATTATTTTTCTCGTATTCTTGAAAAAATAAGTCACTACTGATGAATGCATGCCGAATCGTTCCAATTGTAATACTCTCGAAGTAACCCAGTACCAATTTATTAGATTAGATATTGAATTAAATTATTTTAACTTACCGGATAATACTTACCGGACAATATAAAAAAGATATGCCTATCCTTCTACTGCCTCTAACTGCCTACAGATAATTCATCAAAATACTTTAATTCTGAACCCTAAAATTTAGCATTTATTTTAAATTACCCTGATTTTAGAAATCAAATCACCACCCATCTAATCATCAGCCTACCAATGTGATGCATAGAATTCCACGTCTGGAATCGTTGTAGCTAAGTACTCGCTTTTTTGTGATTAATTCGGGTTTGTAATTTACTATATTTTCCTTCATCATCCTCAACCTCCCTCACAGTTTCCTATTATATTCCTTAAGTATCCTCAGTTACCGTCATACTGCCTTTCGCCTTTTACGATTATACCAAGCGAATTATTAGGGGGTTGAAGAGATGTGAAGAGATCTAACTGAATGTTACCAATGAATTATAATATGAGGTTTTTGAGAAAAGCTGAAGGATTTAGTGCCGCACATTTGTGATATCTGCCTAAGTGATAGAACACTTCTTTTTCGAGAGAAACATCTAAGCAAACATTTTATTATAACTAAGCTTAAAGAACAGAAGTAAAAGAGAAGATCTTATTAAGATTTCAGTATAAAACTGGACGTGTGTAAGGTGGAAACAGTTTTGGAAAATGATTTCGAAAAAATCAACATTTTAAAATTGTTTTGCACAAGAAATGTTCTATCACTTAGGCAGATATTAATACTCTCGTTTTGCTCAGATGGCATACTTGATGCAAAGTATTTTTGAGCTATTCTGGCTAGTATTGGATAGAACGAAATGTTCTCTTTCATTTCATCGTTTATCCTCTTTTAATAATTTTGCCTTATTCATTCATGAATGCAGCTAATTCATCATGCA